CAACACGTGCAACTCCACGTGCATCTCATCACGCCACGTGCATCTCACCACGCCAGTGCATCTCACCACACCACGTGCATCTTTTTACTTTTTAAAAAGTTCACAGCATTTGAAGCATTCGGAAGCTTATATCAGTTTTGCAGAATCCCATTTGGCGTGACTAATGGAGTGGCTGCTTTTCAGAGAGCGATGGACGCAATAGTCGCAGAAGAGAAACTCCAGGATACTTACACTTATCTGGATAACGTAACAATCGCTGGACACAACCAAGCTGAACATGACAAGAACGTGGGCACGTTCCTCTCGGTCGTTAAAAGCAGAAATCTTGCATTAAACGATTCAAAGACTATAAAATTGGTGACCTCAATCAACGAACTTGGCTACAATTTCGGTATTGGCAGCATAAAACCCGACGCCGAACGTCGGCGCCCGCTTCAAGAATTTCCGCCTCCTTCGAACCTCGCATCTCTGAAGAGAGCAATGGGAATGTTTGCTTATTACGCTAAATGGATCCCAAAAGTTTCCGATAAATTCAGCCTCTTGTAAAGAACACAACGTTTCCGTTGGGTGAAGAATCTCTCGATGCTTTCAACATTTTGAAAAAATAATTATTAAAGGCAACTTTGCACTCGATTGATGAAAATTTACCATTCGTAGTAGAGTACGTTGTCTCAGAAGTGGCAATTTCAGCCATTCTGAATCAAGGTGGTCGCCCCGTTGCTTACATGTCCACGTTGCAAGGGAGTGAGTTGCACCATTCTGCAATTGATAAAGAAGCAACTTCTATCATTGAAGCGGTACGTAAATGGAGTCAATTTTTGGCACGAAAACCCTTCACTTTGATAACTGGCCAGCGATCTGTAGCTTTTATGCTCGACAACAGGAAAAGAACGAAGATTAAAAACAATAAAATCCAACAGTGGAGGCTGGAGCTCGCCTCGTTTAGCTATACTATTAAGTATCGGCCCGGGAAAGAAAACGTAGCTCCAGATACTATGAGTCGAGCCTCGTGCTGTGCCATTTCTTTTCCAACATCCAACTCAACTTTGACTGAAATTCACGATGGATTGTGTCATCCTAGAGTGACAAGGCTCCTGCACTTCGTTCTAAAAATATGTAATTTTCAACCGAAGACGTGAGGAGAGTTTGCTCGACGTGTAAAGTGTAGGCTGTTCTAAAACCTCGCTTCCACAGACCGTCCGAAGGAACTCTTATTCGTGCAACTCAACCAATTGAACGCCTGATCATTGATTTCAAAGGTCTTTTGCCCTCCGCCACACGTAATACGCATGTATATGCTCACTGTGGTCTACGAACTCTCAGGCTTCCCATCCCATTTGCTTTCCCTTGCCTCGACATGTCTACAAGAACGGTTATTATGTCTATATTCATTCTGACAAAGGAGTAGCGTTTATGTCTCAAGAACTGAAGGCATATTTATCCCAGAAAGGAGTTGCGACGAGTCGGACAACTCCCTTCCACAGTACCGGGAATGCCCAATATGAGCGTTATAATGGGATCATTTGGAAGGCGATCGCTCTGAAACTACTCACTCACTCACCGTCACTCACCGTCACCGCCCGGCCCGGCCGCCCCCAAACTAGAGGCTCTCAAACTGCCTGTCAAGCATTGGGAATTGGTATTGCTTGACGCATTAAACTCGCTGAGATCCCTGCTATCTACAGCCACGAACTTAACTCCACATGAGCGTTTTTTTCAATTTCCAAAGACGGGTCAACTCACGGACGTTTACTCCCTTATACCTGTTATGACACCCGGACCGGTCCTGCTCCGCCGCTACGTCCGCACCAATAAAACCGAACCTCATGTCGATTAAGTTGACCTGATAGATTGCAATCCCACCTTCGCCCGTGGGAAATACCGAAACAGGCGTGAGTCAACTGTATCAGTACAAGATCTAGCTCCATGCCCTCAAAAATCACCAATCGAAAATCAATCTTCGATGGAGAACGGAAATTGCCGTGAGCAACTTGAGACGACTTCGCATTATCAGGATCACGCCCCCAGTCCAGCTGGGTCGTCCCCGCAGCCGGCGCCACCGTAGGACGTTGCAGACCCAAGACCCGTGTCATCGGAGCCGTGCAACCCGTGCAAGAAGAGAAGTCACCGTCTCCCATAATCCGAAAGTCAACTCGTCCACGAAGACCTCCTGAACGTAATGGCTATGAATAGACGAAGCTGCGAATAAATAAATACTTTTTCTGTAATGATGCTCACTTCTATGTTTAGTTATATCGGTTTGTAGGCTGCGACTGATAGTTTGTTTTAGCAGCCAAAATTTAGAAGGGTAGAATGTCGTAATATTGAACTAGTTTTACTTCGTCACAACACTACGCAATGTCGTTCGACTCCAGTGTTCTTTCGCAGTCTCTTTGTATATCCAGTATAAACGGATCTCTCTTCTGCTATACAATGTAAGTGTGCTTGCATTATAGTCTCTTGAATAATACTTGTGTAATGTTATATATTGTTGTGTTGTGTTGATTAGTATTTTACATCGGTCATTATTCTTCCAGGTAACTTGGCATTTGTTGAATAAAGCTTGGATTACCAAAGTTTATTTCCTCCCTGATTCCACAACACCTATGTTGAATTATTGACAAAATTATATCACAAGTCACCGTGTTGCAAGTAAATCTATAGTTTTATATTCCTTCGTCACGCTCAAAACTTGTACGTAACTCCACTTACGACAAATCCGAGCAGGCGTAGAGCTACGTACTGTTTCTTGTACGTAGCTGCCCCGCCCGGCCTGCCCGCGCAAATGTTTTGATGATACCACCGCCAGTCGAGTTGACTCTGTATAGCACTTACGCCACACGTAAGTCGCTACGTTTACTTAGCGATATTTTGATAATCCGGCCCCTGCAGACAAGATCAGCACATGGTTCATCAGAACTTCAGAAGATCTTCAAATTCTCAAGACCAGACTCTAAAGGAAGGCACAACAAACGTAAGCATCCCCTAACTCATGCTTACAATATGAAGTGAGAACTTGACCAGTGAGTGAGTGTAATTCTGATAATAATTCTCCTACTGAAACCAAGAGGAAAAATTTCAGTGGAACCTGTTTAAAAAAATTGCATTGAGATTGAGACCAATGTTGATAATATCCATGCAGTGTATTTATATTGTCTCGCAGCATTGCCAATTCCTTGAATTCTGTTAATAAAACACCATGTGAAAACTTGCTTCTAAACATGGAAATTGACTGAGGGCTTTTTAATTGTAAAAATTGGCTCTGAAAATTCTTAGCTGTGAAAAATGACCCTGAAAGATTCTTAAAACTAAGAAATTGACTCGGTGAAAATTGGCTCTGAAACATTTGTTTAAATGTCATCATATTGATATTTTATATGACGAGTGTAAATGAAAATGTTTACCGACCATCCTAGGTACAAACTGCCCGAAATGTGTACCTCTTTACCATCATACTATATGCTCCTTGAAATATATTGTATTGCCGCTTCTCAAAGTGGCCAAAAAATCAGCAAAGTCAAAGATGTGCATATTTCGTAATCACGTATTCTGCTTTTATTATCAACATCTTTTTATTTAATTTGCTAGCTAGCGATTTTTGTCCCATTTGTGTTAAAGCACGAATCTATAAGCTTCCGGTTAGTTGAACCTTGCAGCCATAAAATGCTATCAAACTCGAGCGATGAATCTGAGAAAATCTCGAAATTGCTCTCAAATCCTCTAAAATAAATTGTTCTCAAACTATCTGTAAAAAAACGAAAATGCTGTACGGCTAGATTTTCTGATCCCACTATTGATTAGTGCAAACGATTTTCCTGCCTACAACTTTATTTTGTTCCTTTCTGCTTAATTTTCTCCATGAACTGAAATTTGTATTCAGGCCCTCTTTTACGCCTTACTATGCCTGTTGCAAAAATGCATGAAGTCTCACTTTAAATACCTAACTTGGACCAATTGACAGAGAATCCTTCAAAGGATTGAAGCAAGCTCTGCTTAACCGCGTCCCGCTCCGCCTATCTGTCTCGTCTATAACTATCATACTCCAACTAATAATTATAATTACCGAATGTTATCGGTGCTACCTTGTCTCAAACGCGATCTAACTATTACCTTCTCATGAGCGTATCTAATAAAATTCTGCGCATTCGTCTTAAAAGCGTACTGATGTTTAATGCCATGCATAATGTATATGTCGAACGTCTAGTTGTTTTCCTTGCTCTCTCGAGCTGAAATCAAAAGACGGTCATTCCTTGGCCTCTCTCATCTACCTACGATGAAACTGTGAATTTCCGCCTCCAATCTACTACGTCTGAACGTCTATAATTCTGCTAACACTTTCTCGAGTATATGCCATTGATGCAAACGCTCTCGAACCTATTTGTATTGCTGCAGCACAGGCTACACCGAGCCTCTGCCAATTCAATACCAGGATGAACGATATATTGTCCCGTGAAAATATTGTTCACCTGGCGTCTCATTACATTCAATATAATTATATTATATGATTGAATAATTATAATTTGGCTATAGTTATAATTATTATTTGGCTCCGCCGTTTATAATTATTATTTGGCTCCGCGGTGAAACATGGCAGAGCCAAACTGATAGTATTTTGTGATATTTCATATTTGTAATACAGTATCTCAATTATTTTGAATAAGATTACTTGCACAGAAAAAGACATATATATATATACACACACATATGCATACATACATTCATACATATACATACATGCACACACACACACGCATCAATTTCCCCAGGTTAGGCTCTACTCAAGCATGCCTTAACATCTCGCCTCATACGAAAGTCGCTGCACAGGCACCAAGTCCAGCCTGCGCCGCCCAACCAGGAGCTTCTTGAGTCCAAAATTGGCAATTAAATGTGGGGATCACAGCGGGTTGGGTAGAGCGGGAACTGGCTACGTTTTCTCTTACATGCTTATGATTAAAGTTTGCAGGATGTAGGACCTTTTGTGGAGTAAACTTATGCAGAAATACTTCTTGTCCAAGCACAATAATTGATGCTGAATAATGATTTATTCAGTTGTGGTCATATGTTGGTTGCCTTTAATTTCGGCAGTGGTTCCGATAATCTAAAAAAATATCATAAACTAGCAGAGGGCTTACAAACCAATAATACAAGTGTTGTTGCTTCCCGTCTCCTTATTCGAATACAGAGGGAAAACAACTGGCACCAAATGATAAAACTGTGTTTCATGTTTTCCTGCATTTATGGCCGCATTGAGCTCGTTTTGCTCTGAACAAATTCTTAAAATTCCTCCTCTGTCCAGTAATGGTCATTTTTAAGTCTTGCTCTATGTTTGAGCCGAGGACTAAATTTGGGTTATAAAGATGCCACCGCTGGCTTGCAGAGATTTGAGACGAGGCAAAGCAAACATGGATTCGCTAAGTTTTATGCCAAATCCAAAATTCACTCAATGCACGAGCATTAGAACTCTAATATGACCAACTACAATATGGTCCGAGCTACAATCTATTTGAGTTATCAGGAGATATCACTTTGGTTTTATCTCATATGTCCCTGATGTAAGAATTAAAGACCTAATGCCTGACCAGGAAACTTTACAAATACTCCCTCTTTATGCCTCACAATGCGCACAATATTGTAACGTGCTAACACAGATAACTAATGCACAGTTTCGGACAGATACAAAACCCACAAAACAGTGCAAACTTAGACGAATGAAGTAATATAATCAAAGTAAATATAGATTTTAAACAGTTTTCAAGTATAAAACCTCCACGATGTTAGATTAACGTTTTATTTTCGCTATGTAATCTAAGTTATATTGATGACTCCCAACTCCACAAGCTCATCAAACAGGCTAAGCAGTCGTGGCCGAAGAGCGGGACTTGTTTCAACCATGTCCAGAATTTTTCGTTGTTGTTCCTCCATTTTCTCGGCAATGTTATCTTCACTCATGTCTTGAAAATCGGGTGCGTTCGCAGACTCCATAACAATGATGGGCAGAGCCATGAGAGCTATCATGAGACCAAAAAGATGCTTCTTGCGGTACTCAGCGACTAGCTCCTCGAATGTGAACTTCATGGGCTTGTCGGCGGCACTGAAGACCTCCTTGAATGAGTCGTAGTAGGAGGTTAGGAAGGCAGTCAGGCCTTTCTTCCTCGTGTCGCCGTTCAGGCTCGTGAAGAGGAAGTAGTTTAAATCGAGCGCAAGCGAAGCGTGGCGGTTGATCTGGAGGTCCAGGAGGCAAACGTCCTTAACGGCACCATCGTCAGAGTAGCTGTGGGGAACAAAGTAGTATTCGAGTAAATACAACATACTGATTAAAGATTCTTGTACGTTTAAATTATTGTCACTTTTACTTCTTATAGCAAATTAGTAACAGGTATAGAAATCTGCCTAAGTAGCTCATTCGCCAGTAAGCTGCACTCCACATGCTAGTAAGAGTGTGCCTCACCTGAAGAGTAGGTTGTTGTTCCAACAGTCGCCGTGGTTGACTACAAGGAACGATGGGTGACATTCGCTGCTCTCTTGCTTTAGTATTTCGGAGCTTTTCGGCGCCAATTCCTTCAACCACGCAGTCACTTTCTCGTATCCTTTGATGCGCTCCGAAATCTTGGCAGCATTTGTAATTGAATGGACAAACATGGACTTGAACATTGCTAACTGATCATCATGTTTATTACTCGTAAATAAATCGTCGAGAAAATCGTATTTCTCACTAAACTTTTCACTTCCCAAACTATCTTCGAGAACCATGGAGCTGGCATGCAAACGAGCAAGCTCTTTGACGACCAAAATCGCATGGTTTTCGTCAAGGCCAATAAATCTGTTAGCCATCTTGAAGGAATGCTCCCTCATGTCACCGAGCAAAATGATTTGTCTCGTGGGTTCAAATGAAGCCAGGTGGCAGGGGGCAAACTTTAACGGTGGCAAGCCAAAACCATTGATCATTTTGTTCAAATCAGGAATCATTTCTAGATAAAATTTACCTTCCTTGATGAAAACAAGGTCTGAAAAGAATTCTAAAGAACCGGTTCCATGACAATGGTTGAGTTTGGCGATGTAAGTGACTTTCTTGTCTACCCCACCCAGCTGGTACTCTACCTCGACACTGGTGACAAAACACGCATAGTTATCTCCTTTGGTGCAGAAGTCTACTATGTTGAAAGATTTGTACTTGGCGTCTGGGCCTTCATCTTTCAGAAGAGCAGCCCGGACCTTGTCTTCGGTGACGAGCTTGTGCGCCTTCTCGTTCGTATTCAAGGGGCCCGCCGACATCGTCAAATTTCAACCGTCGGCACTTTTTCACCGTCAACTCTGCCCATAAAATTATTAAATAAGTTAATAACATCTATGTTTTAAATATAAACAACGTATGACAGGATTGAATAACAAATTATATAAAATATTTGTAAAAATCTTTAATTTTTATATATTCATTGAATAAATATATTCAATCCAAAGTCCAGCGAAAAGTCAAACGATTTCACATCGACCATTATTTTGTGAAAATTTACGTTTATTTAGAAGTTTGTCATCAGTTGATGGGCACTGTCACAAGTGCATCTTTACAAATACAAATATACAGTGGCTGAAAAATGATATCAAACAGTGAATTTTGCAGCATATAATAATTTTTTTCGCAAGGTATAAGGCCTTTTTCTGCGGCCATTCGGCCTAGAAATGTGTACCAAAAAATTATATAACAATCATATTTTTTCCAGCTGTTCGTGCTGTTCAGCACTGGAACTATGCAGGGTTCAAACACTGGTAAAAAATTATTTTCATAGGTCTTCAACAGAATCAGGTTTGAGAAAAAATCAACAGTAATAATGAAATCAGGTAATGGCTAAAAATAATGACACCGCTTTCTGAAAGCAAGTCAAACAAATTTAAACGATAAACTTTTTAAAATATCGTATTAATGAAATGCACAAAGCTTAGGATACTGATCGACGGTACCACAAAAAATCATTTCCAGATGAACAAAAATTTGGCTTTACACAGCAAGTCTACTGTAAAAAGCTGCACGATTTAAAGATCAAAGATGTGCTCATTACTCATGTGAGTTTAGATTTTTATTTGACATTAATACTTTACATCTAACCTATTAATTGCGACTTACCTTCACGGGCATATACCAATACCCGAATGACAAGGGCTATAATCTATTCACATTATAATGTTACAGCACTTTGGCGTTATCTAAGATGTCTTGATAGACCGCGATGGCATTGAGAGAAAAGCATCTTTTCGTTATTTTTTCCTTGTCAGGGTACATAAGAGGCCTGCAATAAGTTTACGTTTAATGAACGCAGCAATTACTCGGTTAAGTCAACTTTACGTATATTAGATCGAATTAAACTCACGATAAAAATCATAACCGTTGTGTGAGATCGAAGCTCTTTCAGCAAAGCTCACCCCCTCCTCAGTGAGATTAATGATGTGGCTGATTTTGCGTGGAAATTTTTAGATTGCTTAAAATAATAAGAAGTATCTTTACATAAATTATGTTATCTTAAGGTAAAAAAATTATCTGCATAACATCAACATACCGCTTACTGGTAAGCATGTGCCAATACTTGGACGTACATAAGTGAAGGATAAAAAGTTGTAACGCGAAAAGTTTTCAAATAGAAGACCTAAACAACTGAGGCAAATTATCTACTAGATTTTTTAAATGATTTTAAATCATGCTCTCCATCCCAGCGTTATTCCATATGACCATCCAGACAGTTATTATATTTTATAATAAAAATATTAATTCTATTTGAACTTTTCTTGAAAACAAAATCGAAAATAAAATATAAAACTGATAAATTTGCGTGCTCTGGATACCAGCTTGGCATAGCCATCTATTCTGATTAGAACCTTCTGAAGACGCTATGATCTGCATCCACGCATCTTGATGCATTCCGATTCACATATGCATACGGACCATTGTTACGTATGATAGTTCTAAAACTATAAACAGGATGGGGATATATATGTAGAATTTTTTAGCCTGATAGATTTCGCCAAGTTACTCGATGTAAACAATCGCGCTACCAAAATTTAGAGCTTCGGTGACACGAGCCAAATAGTAAGAACCTAAAAATCAGATTGGATGTATAATATGATAAAAAATATCATTAAATTGAACTAGGATAATAAAGGCTTAACTCCCAAGATAAGACAGAATTTTGTCACGAGAAATAAGCTTCTTTATTAGCAGTAAAACAAATGATTTCTTATAATAGAGGTAGGACTATAATTATAAATTAGCTAAAAATATCATTTCCCATGGCCTAGAATGACTCATCTTTACCCGATTCTGACCAAATAGCAATTTTTGGGTTAATACATTAGTTGCAATTTTGAAGACATTGAAATAAGAGAGGTAAGTTAAAAGGTAAGTTCCACTTACATTTTAGGTAAGTGGAAATCATGTGAAAACATGTGTGAAAGAGAATTATTTTACTCCAACAGAATGGAAGACCAAAACATTTGTATTTTTAGAGGATGAATCATGCAATTTTATATAATTTTTGGATGCGAACATTATCAGTCAATCTAAGTGTTGAAAGGGAAATATAGGATTTGTTGGTTTTTATATTTTTGTATTCGTGTATAAAATACAAAAAATTTATTTTCAGTATAGAAATACGGATGTAAGATTAATATAGGTTCCCGTCCGTTCTGGTCAGTTTCGCCTCTATAGTCACGAGGCACAGCTAGTCAGGGTGCGTTTTAATTTAGTAACTTGTTCGTTCCTGCGTTTTTTATTTAGTGATTGTTTCGATGTGTTATTTATTTGTTATGTCCTGGATAGTTAGATTAGTTTATTCGTGAGAAAAGTTTATTCATACTTTACCTTCTTTACATATATTTGTTTCGGTTATTTGTTATTTTCATTTCAAGGGAGTATGCAATTTGGATTCAGGATCTTTGATTTAGGGAAGGGTGGATTCAAAAGAGTGGATTTGTGGGATTGTTTCTTATTACAAGCCTTAGTTGGGATCTACGAAAAAAATTACTTTATGTACCTACAGCTGGACGAACCTGGGTGATCCCAGCAGTGTACTTTCCATCACATACGTACGTTAAATTACAGATACCCTCTTACAAGTCCTAGGGAATACATTTCTTAGTCTTCATATTCATAATACTTATTGTATTTTTAGAAACTGTGTAATGATCGGATACCTGGCAATACCTCTACGCATGTGAAAAATCGTGCACTGAATTTAACTCTCCTCATTTCATATCTGCATTTTCGAGCAACGGCAAAAAATATGGTCGTGGCTCAGGCTCTACCGCAATTTCCGCCCAGTTGCCACTCAAAAAGGCTATGAAATCATATAGCAGTTATAGCTTCTGTCCTCAAGCCATGGATTCATCAAGCCTCAAGGATATCAAGCCTCAAGACCTCAGATATTAGCGAGCTTTAAATTGACAAGACTTAGGTACGCACACGAATTCGAAATGGTCATGTAAACATATACAACATAATATAGTGGATTATTTAGCAAATTTAAAATTATTATTCAGTTTACTGTTTCCATTGATCTAATAATATGTGTTTAAAAAGTACTTTTCAGAAACAACAATTCTAAGAGGCCATTGTCTCCGATTTTACACATGTACAATGAATTTCTTATTTTATTTTTAAATATTAAAAAATGTGATTTTTTTGGTATTTGGAGGAAAATTTTTTGATTTTTCAAATTATTTATTCTGTCAATTGATTCAAGCATTGTCTCCGACGTTACGCAAGTGTGCAAAATCTCAGATCGATTGAACAGGCAGAAGTGTGTTAAATATCCATTATAAGATTTGTAGCAGACCGACAAACAAATAAACAACAAGAAGTGAAGTTAATGGCAGGTGTTGAAAAAAATTAGATTTGACAAACTATGATCACGAAATTATGACAAACTGTGGCTGTCAAAATTACCAACAAACTTAAATAATCACCGACGTATACTCAGAGCTGTAATCTATTGTAAATGAAGAAAGTTTCCATTTAGTATCACTTAATTGATAGGCGAGCTTATTTGGTAGAAATACATTTTCTATTGTAAAAGTGTTTACAGATTTACATAGACCGGTTAATGGCAAACGTAACGTTAATCGAATTTTCCTTTTTGCGGGCGAGGTAAAACACAGAGAGTACGAGAGGGGGCCCAAAAAGGACAGATTTTTCAAAAATGTATTCATTCATCCAAAAATTTCTCTTGGAATTTGCCGAAGAGAACTTCAAGTCATGCACTACCGCAAGATCGTCAATACCAGAGAAATGAAAACAAGACTATTATAAGAATATTTTAGCGGGCGTATCCCAAGTTGCTCATAGTGTAAATTTTAATTTTTTCAGCATCTGAGAATTTTTCGATAGCATTTCAGAATGAAATCCTTATATAGCTGACCTCGTAGGAGGAAGTATCCCTTAGATTTGAGGCGTTTTACTGCAAAACAAAATAGAGAGGATTCAGTGGTTATTAAGATTCGGTCTGAACTTGGTGTAAGATATCGTCTTCACTTGGCGTAGCATCCATTTAGAATGCTTATATGAATATTCCGCATTTCTTGAGAGCGAGGAAGATAAAAGTAAACCATCTTAAACACAGTTAGTCCAGTACATGATAGTTCCGCATAGCAGCGTTCTTCGATAAGCTGCTTTGCTCTGCGCTTGGTTGCAAGGTTTCGTGTAGGCGATAATATAATATCGAATATATAATATAATTTGCGAATGTAAGCGAATATATAATTTGCGATAGATGTAAATATGCGAATTCAGCTTCAGTAAAGCACCTCGTGCATTTGGATTATTTCTTTCTTCGCAGGGATCTTATCTTGTTGAAGCTCAGTACTTATATCACGCCACTCTTGAGCTTTTTAAATATTGTAATTTGATTAATCATTTTATTATCGTTAGTATAAAGTTTTTTCGTTGTTGTCATTGGTCCGTAAACCAATAGATTTGTTGTGATAGTCACTCATTTCAAAGGGAGCGTCTGAGTAAAAAAGTCGGGGTTTTCACTTTTCAGCTCATTTCGTAGCTGTAAAAAAAAAAAAAAAAACTTCTAATGCAGTAAAGCAAGCACATGTGTGCTCTAGTTTTTGCGGGATGCAGTTTCTAATTTGTATAAAATTTAAATTTGCTAAAAAATGTTGACAAAGCTTTCTTTTAAGAAAATTTTTATTTAAAATTATTATCCGCTTTCAACAGGACAGAAATAATTCATGCGACGCGGGATGGTTCTCTCAATATGAGTATTAGCGATGTGAGGTCCTGAGGATACAGTTTCAAGCAATTCTTATAGCCAGTAACTTTTTTTAATCAATCTTACTAATATGACTCTTTCGAAAATTTAAAATTTATTTTTTATGCAGTCTTATAAATCTACCTCTTCTTTCGATTTTCGAGCTATATTTATTTATATATATTTAGCGACTCTAGAAGCCACCTTTTTCTAATTTGTCAATTATTTGGATTATATATTATAGAAGCTAAGGAAATTGGAAGGGAGGAGGGAATTAAGTGGAAAAAAGCCCTATAAAAATTACAGAAAAATGCGTCTAGAGTCACTATATATTTTCATTACGAATCGAATATGTCTCACGATCTTGTAGCTCGTAAATAAAAGATGATCTAGATTTATAAAAGTGCCCTTTTTAAATTTTTTATTCATTTCACGTTCTCATCATTTCTCAAAAAAAATTCATACGAAGAAAATATTATTGAAGTAGTGTTATACATAGATAGGTGTATGGAGTTTAAAAAAAATCGGTAAGTAAATGTAGAAATTTATTACCCGGACGTTCCGTTTAAATCTCAACGCGCAAGATCATCACACTTGGTCATATACCTGCAGTGCGTGACCTCGATCTAGGCGAGTCACGTAGCATATTTTATAGTCACCGCAAAATAATCCTACAATTAATTGGTGACATCATCTTTTGAGCCTCTGTCTCGAGTGAGAACTTCTTGCATTGCCCATAAATCTGGGAGGTCATTAGCATAGGCACACATTTTTTTCTAATGATTGGGTATGATACAAGAATTTATAATTTGAAAGTAAATACATGACTAAGAGAAAAGGGAAATCAGTGCACATTTTCATGATTTCAACTAATTTTCATCATATTGTCAGAAAATTGAACCATTCG